TACATGCTTATGGTTTGTTCAATGTGGCAATTTAAACATAAATCAAATTATTTCTTATTTTAACACAAAGCAAAAATTTCCTACTTAAAGAGATAAAAACAAATTAAAACAGAAAGCACAAATGTCCCATTTAAACATAAATCAACCAATACAATTGCAAGTTTAAACAGATATCAACAATTCCCTAACCATTGACTACACACTGCTTTCAATTATTTAACGTGTGTAGCAAATCTGTGATTGTTAAAAGTTGACATTGGTTAAATAAAATGAAATAATTCATGTTTCTGATGTGGAAGAATAAGAATGTCAGCATTAGTTTAATAAATGAAATACAGTTATGAAAATATTGTCAAGACACTTGTTTTATAGTTATATTCTTAGTTGCCTATATTCCCGACTGAATGAAATGTTACTTTTGGTTGGTATCCTGTTGGCTTTCCAGATGATAGTGTTCCACTGTGTAAGCAAAGGACCCTCTTCCACGCCTTCAGGTGGATTGGGCACATAGGGTTAGACCTATATTTTATATACAAATCAACACTCAGAGGCTGATATGGTCAACATCATGTCAGCTGCCTTTACTTCGCAGGACTTTACTGGTACCCACCTGAACCAACAATCTTAGAATCCGCAGCACAGGAAAAACTAAGGTTCTTTACTAATATCCTACCCCAGATGACATCACAGGACAGTCCAACATTTTATAGGGTGGTAAGACTGGCTTTCCCCGCTTTCTGATGCTTTTAATGACCCCAAAACATCTACAACTGGCCCTAACCCCAACCCACCTACCTCCCACGATAGAGTGCAGCCTATCTACCATTCCCTGAAATATTAGGCTGTCCCATAACCTGTGGATTTTCCCCTGTTTGAGGTAGGATATTAATAAATTGAACTCTGCTACATCAAGAATTGTGAAGCATGTTCATCAGCCTCTAAGCCACAGAGCTTCACAGAGAGACAAAAAGGCTGACAGCAATTCGTCTGTCAAGAAATAGCCTCCTGTGTGTTAGAAGCCCCACGGTCGACTGGAAACAACAATGGCAGAGAGTATGTTACCAGGAAGGAGGGGCAGGAGGTGAGCTACACAAAGACCTGCAGAGGATATAAGTGACTCCTTGAATTTGAATGTACAGGAGATGGGATAAGTTGGCAAGAGACCAAGTTTCTTTCAGGCAGACCGCGATGAGAGCGACATTCTGCAAAGGACTTGCTATACGATGTTAATGACAATTCATGAACAATAAAATTAGCTTTCACTCCCCAGAAATTTATCTTATGATATAAAGTTTTCCGATTAAGGTTCCCTACTAAATAACAAATAAAATAATTTACCCTTCTTAATTTGTATTTTTTTTAAAAACAGCAACAACAAAACAAAAAGTGCAAATTTAATATATGAATAAACATCACAAATTTCAGTAATTTAATCATAACCCTGAAATATCTTAAACAAATTGTTTATTGTCTGGTTACAAATTGGATTGGAAATGTTTTTCTCATGAATTCCCACAATAAATAGATAAAATACAATACATATATGTGGTGCTAAACAGAATGGTTTCTATTTCCATGGCTATAAATGTTTTTATGTACAAACATAAAGCAAAAGAATACATGAAAATAACAAATCAAGTTGTACAATAAAGATACCTGACGAATCATTCCTAAAAGGGGCAGCTGGTAGGGGTAATGCAAGCTTGTCTGTCAGTCTGGCAATCATGTGTTGAAATCCCCTTTTCGGGAAGGATTTTTATTTATACAAAAAATTTTATATCTATGGCTGACGCAGCCTTAATATGATAACAGGAACTTCTGAGAAATAGAAGCAGGTTGTGTGATATCGACCACAGTACAGCCAGGAAGATAGACACGCCCCACTAGGATTACAGGACCAATAGAGAGGACCCAGGTATGTTTAGAAATGATATCATCAAACACTGGGACAAGAAACCACAACTACTGGTACAAAAAAAAACCCAATGAAGCCATTAAACTTGGCACAAATAATACCAGACCATAATTATAATAGAAGCTGTCTTCACAGGGGTTGAATGTAGTCAAAATGTGTTTTGTTTACTATCAAATCAACAATAGCAACACTGACCATATCACCATCTGTTCCAACTGGTCTATTTGGAAACAAAACAAAAAAGTTCTAGAGCAACATAGGTGTGGGGAAAATATCCTTTGCCTGCATGATAGAAAAGATGCAGACTGTCAAATCACAAAATGAGAGGCAATACTTTGTATCATCTTCATATGTCTAGTTGATAAGTGCAGGTGGTTAGCAGGTGGTTATTTATCCTTTGCCGCCCATATGATCCCCAGAATTACAGATCATATCAGTGCCCTTACCCCCGACTCATCCTGTAGCGAAGCCATTCAGCTATTTACCTCTCTGTCATCATCTTGTCTTGTATATTTTGTATACCGCAAATGAAAAGCTGTGAAAACTCACTCCCAGTCGACAACACCATGACTTAGTGAAATACTGCTAAGTGAAACTTCTTGTCAGTGAAAAAAGTTGATGATATAGTTGTTAGGTTTATTATTACCTGCAGACAGACAGACACAGACAATCCATATTTTTTGGGTGCTTTGTGAAAAGGAAAACAAATGGATTGCACCATGACAAAAAGAAAGCTGGAGGGGAAGAGAGGCGGTTGGAGATCAAGAAAGATGATTTTGGACAGTTTGGTATCATGATATGGAAACTTATCTGTATCCCTAACTGAGGTGGCTAGACATGATGACTAACAATGTATGGCATTGACTTAAGGAAAAAGAAACTAGCAAAATCTAGAAACTAAGAAAACCATAACATTTCAGTGAAACTGAGAAACTGAGAAAACCATATCAACTTCTGGACAATGACAGTGTTTTCAGTCTATAGTCTGCCTGCAAGCTAGTACTCTCCTAGTTTAGGTAGGTCTATGAAGAAATGTAAAGTTGATAGCAACCCCCCCCCCCCCCCTTCCCCCCAATATACAGTGGCTTGACCTAGTAAAATGGGTTTCTTGTAATTTCCTCACTGCATTCATCATAAATTGTGGTTTACAGATAGCAATTTTGCAGTAAATAATAGGGACATGGGTGCAAGGGGTGTAAAATAGGTATAACAGCAAACCGCCAATAGTATATAGTAGGAAATATGACTGTGCCTTTGCCTTGGATTATTGTCCCCTGTGGTTGATTGTTTATGACTTCATATAAGGAATCATCAGTTCTCTCAAAAAAGGAAAGACATCTTAGGAATCGTATTCTTAACTTATTCAGTCACATCACTTATTTCAACACAAACTAACTGTAAGTGTCTACACTTTAAAGTTTTGCTAACATTTTATATTCTAAAGTATTTACCTTTTACATTACTTCTAATCTTTTTTTAATGCTATAATTTTAGATTACTTCAAATTTGTCTATTCCAAAATGTGTGCACTTTAGAGCATTTCAACATGTTCTATTCCTGTACACCTTAGAATACTTCACCATTTTCTGTTCCAAAGTGTGTGCACTTTAGAGTATTTCAACATGTTCTAATCCTGTACACTTTAGAATTCTTCACCATTTTCTGTTCCAAAGTGTGTGCACTTTAGAGTATTTCAACAATGTCAAGTCCAAATTGTGTATGCTTTACATTTATACTACTTCAACCTTGTCTATTCCAAAATGTGTGCACTTTAGAGTATTTTAACATGTTCTATTCCTGTACACTTTAGAATACTTCAACATTATCTGTTCCAAAGTGTGTGCACTTTAGAGTATTTCAACAATGTCAAGTCCAAATTTTGTATACTTTACATTTATACTACTTTAACATGTTCTATTGCAAAGTGTGTACACTTCAGAGCAACAATCTTTAGAGTTTTAAGGGGACAAAACAACCAATGAGTTTTATTATAGAAAGTAAGAGTTAAAGTAACAATTTTAGTAAGAGTTCAAGCAACAATTTTGACAGACTGGATTAAGGTAATACAAGAATGGGGCAGAAGAAGTTGAGAAACCAGGAATGCAGTAAATTTATGGTGAATTACCTGGAACTAAAAGAGTTAAGAATCATTTGCAATCACTATCACCTGCTATACTCTTGTTGCCATAGGAACACTATGTGGTACAGCAATCGACAGTGACCCGCAGAAGATGTCTGCTTTTTTTAATCTACACTAGAAATGGCCACTTGGCATCTGCTGACAAGCCCAATTTCTTTAAACTTTAACCCCGACATATGTGTCTGGTCAAATGATTTAGAAGGCCAAAAAGATTCTTTTCATTGACCTTTTATTTCCTTTCTAAATCCCTCTCCCCCTCCCTGAAATATTAAAACCAGTGTATGTGCTGATGAAGGCTACATAGCTGCAACGTTCATGTTTTGTTTGTATTTGTTATATTGTGAAGCTTGCTAATATACTTTTTGTTCAGTTTTATATCTTTTCTTGCTAATAGCTCTATCTGAATGTGCAGATTTAAATTTGAGAAAATAATTGTCTTGTATAAAAGAAAAGAAAACAAAAATTGTGTGACTATATTAACATATGCAAATTTTTAATATGATGAACTATGATGGATAAAGATGAAGTAGAAAGATGAAAGATGATTTGAAAAGAACTGAGGGAAACACACAATAAGCTAAATTAGGGAAAACACAACACAGAAGATGAAAGACAATGATTGGCTAAATACCAAGAAGCTGAGTGATGAAAATGAAGCAAGATTATGGAGAATACAGATAGGAATAAACAGACTTGTTGCAGCAAAGAACCTTCACAATTCATCATAAAGAGAAAGACAATAACCCTTTACGATTCACCATAAGAGAAAGACAATAAAACCGAAGCTCATTCTCTGCATGACAAAATTCGAATACAAATTTATTTCTGCCAGAATTAATAAGTACCTGAGCAGGCACTTACACACACAAACATTCCATTTTCTCACCTTCCTCTATACCGGTAACCAATGCTTACACATGTCTTCATAGTTGTTCAAAATATCAATCACTGATTTCGAAGTATCCGATTAGCTCTTTTGTTTGCCTCGTCCACTCGTATATTCAAAGACCCTCCCTGCTCCGCCACAGAAAATGAAACAAAAGAAAATAAAAAAATACACTATTAATATCACAAAATCTACAGCAACACAAATCTGACAGTGTCTGAAAACAGACAAGGTCACACTTCTTGTTCAAATTATAAATAATAAAAGGAAAGGGAATTAACTCTAAAAAAAACAGAAAGAAGGGAGGTAAACTCTAAAGGGAAAGAAGGCAAAGTCAACCATACAAACAGAGTATTACTTGCAAAACCCATGAATCGATAAACAACAATCTTGTATAAATACTATTCTCCTTATCCTACAGATTCTTGTGAATTATTATTTTCAAGATCATATTTTCCTGCTTAACAATAATTAAACACTTTAACAAGTGAAACTTTCACTTTTACTAAAACAGCTGTTAGGAGAAACACAACATTACTAATAAAGTCCAAGTTGAAATAAGGAGTCTTTTAAGTATAACACTGCCATATCAATATAAAAATTTCAGACATCTAGTCAGTACAATTCATACATAAGAAGAAGAAATGCTTTGCAAAGACTAGTTTTTGATGGTTATAATAGCATATGATATTGATCTTGATATATGTATGAGCTGATGATGCTGAGTGTGACAATCGTGGCAACAACACCAATGCTAATGCTGCATCTACAAGGAAACCTGCGACAAAGTGCACTGATGATATGTGGTCTCTAAAAACACAGTGGACATCAATTGCTATGAGGGTGATCAGACTGTGGCAGCAATGTGCACAACAGGTAAAGGCTTCTGAAATAACTCTTCTGTGTAAATAGTTAAGTTAAGTAGAAAATCCAGGATATACATGCAAACAAAAACATCAGCTTCTGCAACATTTCTTGATAACAAATAACATTACAGAGACGATGTTCTGTTTTGTTAGAATTTTAAGTAAGCATCCAGATTACAAATAGGGTTCTGCCCCTGAGTGAGGTGTCACAGCAGAAGTGATGAAAATAAATGTTACTGTTTGATCATTATTACTATATCACTGTAATGACTACTTAGTGATCAGCCTTGTGTGAGATGCAATACTGCATATTACAATTGCTGACTGCAAATTTTCTGGTTTTTTCCTCTTTAGTAAATCAACAAACCGTCAGAATCTATTCTACCCTAATAATTTTTTAAAGCATTTTTTCAAAATCCAGAACATATATTGACAAGAAAGAAAAAAACCAACAATACAAAGTTAAAAAAAAAAAAAAAGGATATACTCTTAAGAACAACTTGCCAAAACAAAGAAGGTAATAATACACTGGGCCAGTGAAAAAAAATTAAGTCTGGAATAAACAATTATGAAAGAAAGGCTAGCAAGTGTCACAGAAAGGGCTAGGTTAAAAAAAAAAAGTAATCTGTCCTGGACATATGTACTGGTAAGTAAATTCACGTAAAGGACCTTTTCCATGCCTTTAGGCTTATAGGGCATAGATGGCTAGACCTATATTTTACAGAATAAATCGGCACAAAATGGGTGATGTGGTCAGCATCACACTGGCCGCCTTTACTTTTCGGGACTGCACCCCGCACCCACTCAAGGCTGGGTCAACCTGGGAGCCAAGGTCATTTTGAAAAAAACATGAACCCACGACCTTTCGATCAGCAGGCAAGCGTCTAGCCACTCCGCCACGGCGACTCCCAATATGTACTGGTAGCTTCCATAAAGACAAAGACAAATCAACAATCACTGACTGCTGTGAAAGGAAAGCTGCCAGGCTTTTAACTGACCATATAAGGAATGCATGACAAGAATTCCCTAGATTGCAACATGAAGCTCAAACAATACAGTACCACAGTATCACCCTATGCCTACAACCAATCAAGATCAGGTTGTGGAACCAAAATACCAAGAAATAGATGGATGGATTTTACACAGCATACTACATTTACAGGCCCTAAAAACAAAGAAGCCCAGGAAACATGGATGGATTTTACACAGCTAGCAAATTAGTAGGCATCATCAAAAAAGAAGGTAAAAATCATTAAATGAATTAGGAGAAACAACAGTTTGTCTCTTTGAACAATACATTCGGTCAGCATACGAACATCTTTTGAAAATAAAAGTAATCAAGAAATAAGTGTGACCACTCGTCATCCGAAACAATAAAAAACATAGTAATGCTAGGATGAATGATAAAGTACAAAACTAAATAGTGCTGCAGTAGTATATATAACAATTTGTCTTTGTTTGCTAATTAAGAGGAATAATGGCAATTCTTACAATTATAAAGGATTTCAGTTATCTACATCTTCATTGGGTGAAGAAGTTATTTACACATGCTACTGAATATTTGAGGAAGCAATGAATTATTTATACTACAGCCTTTGTGTGGGGGCAAATGAATTATTTATACTACTGCATTTGTGCAGAAGCAATGAATTATTTACTCTAGGGCATTGGTGTGGAGCAATAGATTATTTATACTACTTTATTTGTTTTGAAGCAATAAACTTATTCATAATGTGCATTAAAGAAGTATGTACAACAAAATCTGGCCTCCATATGGTCATCTCCCATTTGGATTTGAAGAAACAATATGGATTTCCTGTATTTACCATTAAGTTCAGAATAAACACAAAAAAAATGTCATAAAAAAGGGAACATAATACTGGTGTTGTTAAGGCTCCTGTATAATTAAATACAGCTAAATCTATGTAGTCAGAGAACATGTTATTCTATGTCACCATAACTGGAACAGTTTACTGTTACAGAAGAATTATGTGTCTATGCCTGATGAAAGTAACTATTTCATCGAGGCCTTCTTTCAAATTTGTGCTTCTAAAATTGACCTTCTAGGGGTCAGTTCTCTCTCTATAAAAGTAACCAGTAATTAAAGGTATTTACAGCTGGCAAGAAGAAAATCATTTGGACCGCTAGCATTTCTGGAACACAATCTGTAATCTAAAATGTCTTTGTCTTTCATTACTGTACTGGCACTGCAGGATTCACTTTTATTAGCTGTATATTTCTTTGCTAAATTTTGTGACAAGGATTAACACAGAAGTGTATCATTTCAACTAAAACTGGAAATACCCAGGGATTGTCGGATTGTCGTAGATAACAATCAACGACAGGCCCAGTGTTACCAATTTGTGCAAAAAGCAGCAAGCCCGACCTACAGAAACATTCTGAAAGCCAAACAGCACACAAGCATAAATCAAGTACACTGAAATAATAGAACATCAGGGAAAGAAATATACATATACTTTATGCTGCTAGAAATGAAGGTGCACAAGCACTGAAAAATTAAGAAACATATTAGAAAACTGAAATGCATTTAAACTCTTAGTGTACTGGGCACAAACTGAAGCGACTAGAAAAAAAAAATCAGTTTTAATTAATTACACTTCTTTATAAGAGTGACTCAGTTGAATAAGTACTGTTGTTTTCTTAAGGTTACGAATGTCAATGATCTTTTTCAGACTAATAATCTGTGTAATTTACAGAAAGGTTATTTTTTAGCATGTCCACTAAGAGTTAATAATACAAACAACAGTTAAACTATAAAATAATGACAATGCAATGAGAGGAATGGGCCCAACAGAATGAATTCAGCAGAGGATGAAAGCTACTGCAGTCCTCTATATCCCCAACATGCAAAGTCACCACTACTAGGAATAATTATGAAAATGAAAAACATTAAATGGATAAGAGAAGCCAGACATGTCAAACCTGCATAAATTGAAACCAAAGAAGGGCAATATATTCAAGTAGCTCTTTGAGTCACTGTGTATAAAAACTTAAGGATAGTCTAAGAGAAGTGACACAGAAAAGAAAAAACAGGATTCTGGTTTTGTAACTAATTTACTTTTTACGCAGCGCTTGTTTATTCATCTAGTTTAATGTGTGTGTGTGTGTGTGTTATGAGTTAGATTATCTTCACAGCACACCGGACACATCCAGAGGCGCTCAGATTCCCCTCTCAACATATTCATCAGCGTTGTGTGGTTAATAGTACCAGTCCTATGTTGGTTATATAATACTTCGTGTGCGTCCAGTGTGCTTCTCATGCTTGGCTGTGCCGATCTTTACTCCCAATTCGCGTATTCTTAGAAGTGATGTGGACATGTTGCTTCCAAAATCCTCAGAACGCCCTTTCTCTCTAAGGGCAATGACAATGTCTGCGTGATCCATGGGTCGGCCATCTTCAATTAATGCAGTACCTGCCAATCTATCAGCTCTCTCATTACCAACAATGCCTGCATGCCCTGGGACGAATATGAAAGTAACTGCACACACAGGAGAATTTTGCAATGACTCAAGCCACTGTCTGCGTAACCAGCCTGCCCCGACCCGCCAGATAATACTCAAAGAATCACTCAGGACACACACGCGGGAATAGTTCTGTGACCCCAGCCACATGAAAGCCTGTGTCACCGCCATCACCTCCATCTTCATGCTGCTGGTGGTCATGGAGAAGGCACCACTGGCTTCCTTAACTGTTCTGCCTGAAGAGCGAGCTGTAAATGCCCATGCACTCTTATGTCCTTGTAAAATGGACCCGTCAGTGAAGATCACATCTGTCTCATCTGACTTGTCACTGTCACTGTCATACCTCGGCGTTGACAGCAGCTGGATTCTGCTTCCGACAACTATTGAGCGTCACGACACAGGAGAATGTGAGATTGGGTGTTTTAGACTCTGGTATCCACTCCTCACCTGGATGGATGTTTGTAAGACTGCAAACCTGCATGATGTCATCCTCTGCCCTACCCCCCAGCCATGATTTGCCCCTTTTAAGCCTATTGCCCTTTTTCTTGAAGAGCATGTGGGGCAAAGAGTGCTTAAGATCTGAGCTTATTTTGAGGTATGCACAAGCCCTCCAGATCTTGATCCTGTAGTTCATGGTAGGGAAGTCAAGAAGGTACCTCACTGCTACGCAAGAGGTGTCTCCAGTGCACCCTAGAATAATGCGCATTGTTTCATTTTGCACCTTCTCAAGTCTTTCAATCTGAGTATGGCTGACAGTGAGGATGGCAAGAGCATATTCG